CAAAGAAAAGGTACACGTACTACTCGTAACCCTTATCCTCTTTATACCTTTTTGAGTTATGACCGTCTTTCTTCACCTCATTTCACCTTTGTTTCTAGTCTTTCTTCTATTTCTATTCCTAAGACCACAGGTGAAGCACTTTCCCATCCAGGGTGGCGCCAAGCAATACTTGATGAGATGACTGCACTTCATTCCAATGGCACTTGGGACCTTGTTTCTGCTCCTCCAGAGAAGTCTATAGTTGGTTGTCGCTGGGTTTTTACTGTGAAAGTTGGACCTGATGGCCATATTATCGTCTCAAGGCACGTTTAGTTGCCAAGGGTTTTACTCAAATCTTTGGCCTTGATTATAGCGATACATTTTCTCCGGTCGCTAAGATGGCGTCAGTCCGCCTCTATCTTGCCCTTGCTGCTGTTCGTACTGGCCACTCCTTCAACTTGACATCAAAAATGCCTTTCTTCATGGTGATTTACAAGAAGAAGTTTACATGGAGCAACCACCTGATTTTGTTGCTCAGGGGGAGTCTGGAAAGGTGTGTCATCTTCGGAAATCCTTATATGGTCTCAAGCAGTCTCCTCGAGCATGGTTCAGTCGCTTCAGTTCTGCTGTTCAGGCATTTGGCTTAATCCGCAGTAAAGTTGACCATTCTGTGTTTTATAGGATTACATCTCCTGATAAGTGTATCTATTTGTTAGTCTATGTTGACGACATCATTCTCACCGGAAGTGATCAAGACGGAATTCGTCAGTTAAAACAGCATTTGTTTAGTACATTTCAAACAAAGGACCTTGGGAAGCTGCGTTACTTCTTGGGAATTGAGGTGGCGCAATCCAGACAGGGCATTTCTATCTGTCAAAGGAAATATGCCTTGGATATCCTAGAAGAAACTGGTATGTTGGGGAGTAAACCAGTTGATACACCTATGGATCCTAATGTCAAGTTATTGCCCGGATAGGGGGAGCCGTTATCTGATCCTGGACGTTATCGGAGGCTAATTGGGAAGCTCAACTATCTTACTGTGACTAGGCCATATATTTCTTTTGTTGCTAGTACGACTAGTCAGTTTCTTGATTCCCCTTGTGATTCACATTGGGATGCTGCTGTGAGGATCCTCCGATACATCAAAGGAGCACCAGGAAAAGGTTTGTTGTATTCAGATCAGGGAAATACAGAAATTTGTGGTTATTCAGATGCTGATTGGGCAGGATCACCCTCGGACAGGCGCTCTACTTCTGGCTATTGTGTCTTCTTTGGAGGAAACTTAATTTCGTGGAAGAGCAAGAAACAACCTGTTGTTGCTCGATCTAGTGCAGAAGTTGAGTATCGTGCAATGGCAAATGCTACCTGTGAGTTAGTCTGGTTAAAGCAGTTGATTCAGGAGCTTCATCTTTGTGAACAGAAACAACCCATGACACTCATCTGTGATAATCAAGCTGCGCTACATATATCCTCTAATCCTGTCTTTCATGAGAGGACCAAACATATAGAGATTGATTGTCACTTTATTCGAGAAAAGATTCAGTCAGGAGAAATCAAGACTGCTTTCGTCAACTCCTCTGATCAACTAGCGGATGTCTTCACTAAAGCTCTTAGAGGTCCTCGGGTTCAATATATTTGTAACAAGCTTGGTGCTCACAATATATACGCACCAGCTTGAGGGGGAGTGTTAGAATATATTAAATATGATTAGATATGATTAGTCTGTAATTATTATGATTAGATATGATTAGTCTGTAATTATTATGATTAGATATGATTAGTCTGTAATTAATTCTGATTGTATTAGGTTTATATTAGGTTTGGGCCTTTCACTTAAGCCCATTAGAGTCTCTATATATTGTAACCCTCTAAATTAGATCAATACACAACATATTATTTTATATTCAAGTATAAGCAACAAGGCCCACTCTCTTAGTAACTTCAAAAGGCTCATAGAATTGTGGACTAAGTTTCTGATTAACACGCCTAGCCAAGGATTCAAGCTTATATGGCTGAATCTTTAAGTATACTTTACCCCCCACTGTATTCATCTCTTATTTTCTTATTTGCCAATAACTTCATATGTGTTTGAGCTTGACAGAGGTTGTGCTTAAGCTCCTCCAAAAAAGCATCCCTATTGCGTAACAATTGATCCACAACATCCAGCTTTGTATTGGCAGCACCCAACTGAATTAAAACAGGGGGATCACAACCATATAATGCTCGAAACAGTGTCATTTGGATGGAACGATCATAAGATGTGTTGAGCCAAAATTCGGCCCAAGGCATCCACTTCACCCTCCCTTTAAAATGCTGTCCCACAAAACAGCAAAGGTAAGTCTCAACCGTTCTATTCACCACCTCCGTCTGGCCGTCGATTTGAGGGTGATAAGCAGAACTAAATTTCAACTTAGTGCCCGCAAGCCGAAAAACCTCCCTCCAAAAACTGCTGATTAAAACCCTGTCACAGTCAGATATGATTGACTTAGAAAATCCGTACAAACGCACCACCTCACGAACAAACACAGCAGCTACATGTTGAGCCGTAAATGGGTGTGATAAACAAATAAAATGTGCATATTTAGAGGCAGTCTACTACCACGAATATGGTGTCCATTCCATGAGATTTTGGTAACCCATCAATAAAATCCATTGATATTTCCTCCCACACCTGATCAGGTACTCCAAGAGGCTGCAACAGTCCCGCAGGTGATAATTGACAGTATTTTTGTTGTTGACATATGGTGCAAGCTTGTACATACGCTGCCACATCACACCTCACTCCCTTCCAATGAAATAATGACGAAATCCTCTTGAAGGTGCGTAGCTCACCTGAATGACCTCCCCATGGCAATGCATCAAATTCCTGAAGCAATAACTGTTTGCGTGGAGAACTATTAGGAATTACCAGCCTCCCTTTAAACCATGAACACCCTCTGCTTACTATATAAGCCGGGTGAGACTCTGAATTCTGTAAAATATCAAGCATAATTGTGTGAACATCCTCATCATGTATGCTCTTATCAGCCAACAACATTAAATCTGGACTGGACAGTAGAGTAACTCCTTTGAACTCCATTACCCGTGAAAGAGCATTCATTGCCCGATTCTCCACCCCTAGCCGATATTGTATCTCAAAATCAAAGCCTAATAACTTAGCTGCCAATTTTTGTTGACCCTCTTCCATCAACCTCTGCTCAGTAAGGAATTTTAGGCTTTTCTGATCAGTGCGATGATAAACTTACGCCCCATGAGATAATGACGCCATTTATACATTGCCAAGACAATAGCTTTGAGCTCCCTCTCGTAAACTGATAACTGCGGGCATCTTCTGCAAATGCTTGGCTAAGAAAAACAATTGGTAAAGAGTCTAGCATCAACACTTCTCCCATTCCTAGACCTGAAGCATCAGTCTCAATCACAAACTGTTTCTCAAAAACTGGTAAAGCCAACGTTGGCGGCCTCATCATCACCTGTTTCAGCTTCTCAAAAGCCTCCTCAACCTGATCGTCCCATTTAAAATTATCCTTTTTCAGAAGCTGGGTAAGAGGTCTAGCTATCATACCATAGTTTTTGACAAAACGCCTACAATACCCCGTAATTCCCAAGAAACCCCTTAATCCTTCCACTTTGCTTGGATCATTTTTAACCCCTCTTTGCTTATAATGTGCCCCAAATATTCAAATTCCTCCTTGCCAAAGCTGCATTTTTTCAAATTAGCTTGCAATCTGTTTTGTCAAAGAATTTCCAGAGCTTGTGATAAATGCTCCAAATGATCTATTACACCTCTGTTGTACACCAGTATATCATCAAAAAACATTAACACAAACTTCCATAAAAAAGCGCAAAAGATGTTGTTCATTAAAGATTGAAATGTTGATGGGGTATTTTTTAATCCGAAAGGCATTACGAGATATTCATAATGTCCCTCGTGTTTGCGAAGTGTTATCTTCACAATATCCTCCTCACACATCTTCATTTGATTATAACCTGATTTCAAATCCAGTTTAGAAAAAATACTGCTCCTCCCAATTCATCCAGCAACTCATCAATAATCGGCATGGGGAACTTATTAGTAATGGTGACTCGGTTCAATGCTCTATAATCCATGCAGAACCTCCAGCTCGCATCCTTCTTTTTCACCATAATCAAAGGACTCGAAAATGGGTTGCTACTAGGTCGGATCATCCCTGACAACAGCATATCCTTAACAAATTTCTCGATCTCTATCTTCTGGTAATGTAGATAACGATTAGAATAGGAAATATAATATGTATAGATTTGGTTTAGATTTGTATAGATTACTTTCCTATTTGTAAATATTATTTTCCTATTTAGGACTTAGATTAGGTCTGGGCTTCTCACTTAAGTCCATTAGGGTCTCTATATATTGTAACTCTTTGTATTAGTTTAATACATAACATATTATTTTATATTCAAGTAAGACCAACTCTAGTCTCATCAATAAGCACTATCATCTGCAAATAGCATACAACATGAAACCTCATCTTGGATATCTTTTGTTAGCCCATCCATCACTACGGCAAAAAGATAAGGACTCAAAGCAGAATCTCAATGTAAACTTACTGTGATTGGAAATAACTTGATGTGTCATTACAAATGTTTGCATATGTAATAACACGATCATACCTATCATTGATTGCCTCTACATACTTTGACGATACTATTTTTGTTCTCAAGATCCCACCATATAATCTTCCTTGGAACCCTATCATACGCCTTCTCGAGATCAATAAATAGAACCTTTCTTGGAACCCACCGCGAAACCTTTCTTCTAATTGTATTTTTTTGGATCTCTGGTTTTGTATCACATCGATACTAAACAGAGTAGTTTCTGCAATATGATTGTTTGTTCTTCTTACTTCTGGCCGCAGTTCTATCAGAGATGCTCTTAAAAGAATGAAAGTACAGACAAAAGAGAACAAAAAAAAGCTCAATGAAGCAAAGCTACCCAATCCCCAAACGTAACCAGAGAATCCGAGAATGTTACCGATGCTTACTGGCCATAAACCACGAAAATTGCAGATAACATAGAACAAATCACCAAGGCAGATGATGCCAATGGCCAAGATAAAGTCAGCAAATTTATTATTGCTCCTGTTCCCTATATAGCAAAGAAAAGAACAGATAATGACATAGGGAAAAATAAAATCATCAAATTAAAGCAAAAGATTAATATGTAAGAATTAATACCTGCAATGTGTTGCGTAATATCAAATGTAGATCATTTCCTATAACATGGGATAGTCGTTGACAATCTGCTGCAAGCCTGCTTGTCAAGTCACCAACTTTTTCTTTATCAAAATAGGATATATCCTACATCAGAGATAATACAAGCAGTGGGTAATCAGAAGAAAATAAAGAAATAGAAGACAACACAAATAAATAACCCAAGAAATGCTAAAGAACAACCCTTGGCCCCATATATTTTCAACTTGTAAAACGCATACCTGAAAAAGAATGGCTGTGAATAAATTTTCTTGCAGACGCCGTACCTGAAAAATGATGCATGGATCATTGGATGGTGACATGTGCTTTGAATCTTAAACAACATTATTAGAGATATAAATTTTATTTTATTTTTAATTAACATCAACATTACTTAAACAATTCAGTCAATGAAGAGACTGAAATTGTACTAATAAAACAGTAAATATAGAAATTGAATTTAATCTTTTAAAAAACAAGGGATAATTCCCAAACCGGAAGTCTTAGCATAAGTGTTGAACCAAGAGAGAAATGTCTAACAAAAAGTGGTTAATTAAGTCAACAAGCAGTTTAACCACTCATTATTAACCATTTCTTGTCTTCATCCAATACCTCATCATGGCTTTCTGGCTTGGTTATTCTCCTGGAAACAATGCATGACCGAACCGGAGAATATCATAACATCATTTTTTGGTGGACAGAAAAAGATATATTATAATAGAAGGGGAAAAGTACAAGAAAGGATAAGAAGCCCTCCAATAGAAACCACAAAGCTGAGAGAGAACAAAAAAGATAAACCCATATAAGAAACCAAAATCCAGTCCCAATCCATAAGATAAAACTGAAAAGGGAGCCACAACAACAACTAGAAAACCTCAAAAATAACTTCTGCGCAAAATGGAGAATCTAAACTAAAACTAAGTTCAAAAGAACTCTACCTTAACCTCCAAAACTAAACCCAACTTCAAAATTACGATGAAAACGTAGTTAAGCCTTCAATTTACTTTACACCCCCCAAAATTTGCTGTGATGGGTAAACATTGAAGTTCCTTTTCCACTTTTTTCTTCGTACCATGGTCATTGGTGAAAATACCACCGTAACATCCTTACCCAATAGGTACAAGGACCCATTTGGATTGGTTTATTTGCCTCAGTAGCTGCTTTTTTTCAAAATAAAAAAAATTACTTCTCAATTTATTATGCAATTGGATGCCAACTTTAAAAATAAATAAATAAAGCAAAAGTCACAAAAAAAGCCAAAATACAAATTTTTTTTTTTAGAGCCTATTTGGAACCTCTTTTTTTAACCTAAAAGCTACTTTTAAGCTAAAGTTAAAAAAAGTTTAAAAAATAAAGCTAAAAGTTATTTGGTGATCATATAAAGTTGTTCTGATGTTTATCAAAAAAAAAAAAAAAAAGTTTTTCTGATAATTTTAAAGGAGGGAAGATAAAATAATTTATTATTAGAATGAATTATTAGAGTAAAAGACAAAATTTATAAATATGTTTAGAATAAGGATAAAACTGTAAAATAAATATAAGAAGTCAAAAAAGTTGGCATTCATCTTAAAAAAAGAAAAAGCTCCTTTTATGAGCTTTTAACTTTTTGCTTCATTATAAAAAATATATATATATATATATATATATATATAAATAAGAGCTTTTATAAAAACATGTTGGCTAAGTTTCTGCTTTTAGGAAGAAGAGAAGCTTAAAATAAGACATGCCAAATAGGCTAGTCAACATTCCTAACTTCTAAAAAAAACCAAAATACTGTTTGTTGACCAACTTCAAAGGGTAAGGGTAAGGATCGATTATACGCAGCCTTATCCTTTGAATTTTGCAAAGATGTTGTTTCCCGGACTCAAACCAATGGCCTTGCGGGCATGAGCAACCTTACCTCTACTTCAAGGCTCGCCCTCTAGGTGAAGACCTATAAATGAATTTTAATTATCTCTAATCACCTACACCTTGTGCAGAAATTCAAATTTTTATTACATGAATGAGGGAAGCAAGAATCAACTCTGAACCCATTGGTTATAAAATTGTTGATGCCATGTCATGAATCAACTCTCCCAAAAGTTGTTGTTAGATCAAGACACATGAATGGTTCTATATTATATCACTAAGAAAGGTTAAAAAATAAATACAAAGAAAGAACATTGTCACAATGATTTGATCATACTTGATCACTATAGAATAAAGTTTACGCTGACCATACAATTGATTTGATGGAAAAGGACTTTTAAGCAACAACAGAAAAGATCAACCTTTGGAAAGGAAAGCAAAGGAATGGAAAAGCCTGAAAAAGTACGAAACGGAAAGGAAAGAACTAACATTGGAAAAAGAAAATGTTGATAGGACAATTGAGTGTTTAAATCATGAAAAATGAAGGACTCAATTAAGTCAAAGCTATCTTGTAAAAATTCAAAATTTCACTAGCTCCATTAACAAGGGATACCCAACTTTATCAAGAAATGCTTCCACACAAACAATAGTAGGAGCCACTCTAAAGGAGCAAAAGTGTAAAGATCTTTGTTGCAACTAGAACGGTATTTACTATAATTTAGGTAGATTTCTTTAGAGAAATGAGTTTCTGATGAAGAATCATGTTTTTACACCAAGTAAAGTAAGAAGCATGCTCAGCAGGATCTGGATCAAAGACAGTCCTAATCAATGAATGATTGGTAAAATATAATTCATTCAAATGAATGTTTTAGATTAAGTGGAACTGCAATGGAAAGGCAAGACAAAAGGAATCTAGGTTCCCAGACCAACACTAAAAGCTGAAAAGAATTGCTATATGAATATTTGACCAACAAACAATGAGAGAACAAAGCAGGTTGAGATCAAGAAACACTCACCAAGGTTACATTCAAAATTCCAAAGCAGCCGCTACGCAGACCACTGAAATTCAAATGAGAGAACAAAAAACCACCCACTCAATCTTAATATTAAACATATGAACAAAAATTGATATCAACATTGGGCAATTAATTTTGAGTCAAAGCATTCCCTGTTTTGGTAGTGGTAGAATTAACACATACAATAATGCATAAGTCACTTTACACTATGTTTTATCTCCTAAGATTTAGGTCATGTGTTTTCAGACACTGTGAACTGGCCCTGGTTACATTAGGACAAGCTCCTTAATCCTTGGGTGCACTAGGTTGGACATGTACCTTGGGTAACCTTTATACTATTATAGAGGTTATGGAATAAGTGTCTAAAAATATAGGTTAGACATAGAAATTAAGCTCTTTAAGAATTACCTGCATATCCCTGAAGTGAAACACAGAAGAACCAAAAAGAATGCATTCCTTGAAAACGCCACGGTCTCACCACTCTCAGCTGAAAATATTGATGCCGCCAATATACTCGGCATGGTTATTTCTGATAGCTGCAGCAGCAGAATAAACATTGAGAATTAACATAAATTGGAGGAAATCATAAGAAAAATGATGAAGCTACAGTGGTACACATATCAAGTTGCACCAGTTATTTTGTGATGGCGGTGCCTTCACCAGTCACCACCCATTAAAGGGCTTCCCAACTTGCGAGCGCAAGGGTGAAGGCCGATTGTACCCGTCCAATATATATATATATATATATATATATATATATATATATTCAATGTGTGTCATATCTTATATATATATTCAATGTGTGTCATATCTTACAGTATCACTGCTGGATCATACCTTGCCATGTCACTACAGAGTTTGACTATAACAATAAGTCATTAACAACCTAAAGTCAAATCTCATTGCCAGTACATGATTGATGGATGGACATAAGGCCAAAATCAAACTCTTCAAATTGCTTACTCAATATAAATATATATATGGGTTTATTATTTTTTCTGTTACATGAAATATATGATTATCTTCTGCAACCCCGAAACAACGTCATTTTAAGATTTGGGGAATAAAAATTGGAACCTTATGGGAATTTTGCTTTTCTTTTACGATATCAATTTTCGCAAAACGCCCTATATTTTTTCCCCAAACCCGAAGATGTATTAAGGAGGAAATAATTTTATCTCTTATAATAGGAGAAATAATAAACTATATATATAACCGTCAAATTAAGTTCGACACTAATATCAAATTAATTTCACACACACACACATAATGCCTACATTTTTTTTAATGCCTACTCTACCCAATTCTCTCCAATATTGTTAGACTAGAATCTCAACTAACCTTCACTCTTTCTCTTTCCTCTTGAGATTATCATATAACGATATTGGAAATAAGTAGGTACACACACACACATAATGCCTACATTTTTTTTAATGCCTACTCTACCCAATTCTCTCCAACATTGTTAGACTAGAATCTCAACTAACCTTCACTCTTTCTCTTTCCTCTTGAGATTATGATATAACGATATTGGAAATAAGTAGGTACAAAAAAAGTACTCATAATATCATATATATATATATAGGGATAAGATTAATTTACATTGGTGTAAGAATAATAAATCTTATCCAATAGCTGTAGCTCGGTTGGCATCACATGGGAGAGAATTTAGATTCAATTCCCACCAAATACATCTTTGGGGAGGGTTGAGGAACTTTAACCGTAACTAAGCCCCTACTCGGAATTAGTCTCAAAGAGTTAAAGCCTATAAGGATCCCCAGGAGTCGACTCACCTCAAAAAGATAATTAAGATCAGAATATCAAAATAATAATAATAATAATAATAATAACTCTTATACACAATCTTAACCGATACATTTTAGGTAGTTAATGAGTTATTCTCGCAATCAAACTCTAAATTGACATGCGAAGGTATGATCCAGTGATACTGCAAGATATGACACAATGCAATGAAAACAAAAAAATACATTGACATATTACCAAAAAAAGTCATTGAAACACAACCAAGGAATATATAGCACTCCATAAAGTATTGTCCAAATTTCAACAACCAGGCTTCAAGAGAAGAAAGAAACCCCACTAGTGTTAAGCACTACGCGAAGAATGCATTGAAAAATAAAATAAAGTAAAAAACTTCTTTGTTTTAAGCACAGTTTCAAAACTGATAGTAACCATTGCAATTGAAGTTCGTAAGAATGAAAAGCCACTACTGAAGAATGCTATGCTATCACACTCACAGCAGCGACAGCAAGGGACCCGAAGGCCACAATCGCAACCCATCGCTTATCGGCGACTAATTCCCACATTCGCCGGAGAGCGAGCATCACCGCCGTCGGCTGCTCCGCGTCTTCTTCCCGGTGCTCCGATAAGGTCCACCAGCTGCCACCGGGTAAAATGGACGCCACGAACCCGACCCGTTTTCCGAGAAGCTTTTGGAACCCAGAAACAGCTTCCTCGTTCTCTGACACGGCGAGTCGGAAACGGGTTTCGGGGGTTACGACCCGGAAGCTTTTGGAGCGCCCGAAGAGAAAGTGGGTTTGGGGTTTGTTGTAGAAAGTGTTCCATTTGGGAATGTGGGAAACGCAAAGGTTAGGGGACATGCTTATTTGCAGAAGCCAACTTGTGTAGTAATTCTGCTAGGGGTCTTGCGTGTCATCTCGTTGAAGCGTAAGCCATGAAAATTCTCCTACTTTTTTTTTTTTTTTTCTGAATTCTTCTGCCATTTTATTTCATCTCGAATTTATAAAGTAAATAAATACATTTTACAGGCTAATTCCGTATCCCGATGCCAATTCAATTCAATGCAAATGTAAAAATGCATGAAAAATTCAAAATTAAATAAGTTAATAAAAAAGGACAAATTATATACTCTTTAATTAATTATTCACCCTGCACAAAATTGAAATAATTAACTCACTTAAACATTAAAATAATTAAAACATTTAGCAATTTCAAGACAAAAATACCCTTATCCGCATTCCATTATTGGCAAACATTAAGGGTATTGTAACATCCCGTAAAAATTAGGAACGTATATAAACTGCCACTAGTGATGTTAATTCATGTTTTGAACTCGAAATATATATGTATATATGTATGATTAGGGTGGAATAAATGTGAGTTAGGAAATTTAATTTTTGTGCATGCATGTTATTAGGGATAAGTAGGAATACTTTAGGAATTTGAATATTGGTTATAAGTATGTGATTAATTTTAATTCAAGGAATAAACTCTTTAGTAAATAATTAGAGAGTACATAAAATAATAAGGCATGGGTAATTCTTAGATGGAAGAACCATTGGACTTGTAATTTTTGGACCTAATCCTTGTGTTGGCCGACGGCCCAAAGGCCTTAAAGGGGGACTTGGTTCAGCCCTAATCTCTTATCTCACTCACATCTTATCCTTAATGAATCCTCAAGGTTGCCATGCATTGGTTGGGTATTAACACATGGCAAAACATCTCCCACCTTTGTATTCCTCTATGCGCATAGGGTAGATAAAAAATTCTGATGACTTGTTGCTTTAGCCAAGCCCATTCAGTTTTATTACATGCAACCAATGGGAGAGGTGTGAGCAGCTTGCATGTCATTCCATTGGGTAGAAATCCCTCACCCATTTACACCCTTTTGTGTGCTAAAAAGGGAGAAAGCCTAGCTACTTTTCTGATTTTTGTTAGCTTTTAAATCAACTTTATAACCTCCATCATTTCCCCCTAGGCGCTGGTTATGTAGGATAATGAGCTGAAGACTTATCTTGTAGAATCAAGAACAAAACTTAGCCTTTCAATCCCCTCCTTTCCTCCCTAAAACTGTGAGCTGTGTGGAGTAAAAGACCTCAAGAAAAATTACACACTATCCTCTCCATTCTTGTTAGAACCGTGACCATCTCTATAGAACACCACCAACCTAGTGGTTAGTATAATCTTACATTTTTCCCAACTTTTCTAGCCAGAAACCGTGAGCTCCATTAGCAAAGGACTAAAGTAATTCAACATCTTCTCCTTTGTTCTTTGTTCAGCCGAAAGTCGACCATAAGGAGGTGAGCCATTTTCCCTTCTCCTTATTCCTCTCTTCACATAAATCGGTTCTTATTGGATTTTTCTGTTAGCATGCGCAAGATTCTGCCTTGGTTAAGTCCCTACCTCCATTACACGTTGCTAGGTTTGAGCTCTTGAACATTGGAGGGGGAAGCTTGTTGTTTGTTCGAGTCGGGGTCTTGGGTGTGTAGACAAGAATACGTGCATTGTAGTGCTATGAACGTACCTTACTATGGCGTTATATACGCACTCAGATGTTATGTTAGTTTTGACGGAAATTTAAATGTTGATGCGACTATTTTGGAATTCTGTGCCTAGTCTAATACTGTTGCGTTACTGGTTTTGCTATAACACTACTGGGATTTTTCTCACCCCTTTTGGGGCTCAATTTTTATAAAATTGCAAGAGGACGAAAAAGCATATGATGACGTTGTTATTTGGATATTTGCTGTTTACTGCCGCTGTTTGGAATTTCTGCTGTTGACTGCTTGTCTGTTGGATAATGGCTGACTTTATTATAATGTTGTAACATTTTGGAAGGATGAACTACTGTTGGAAACATGTTTTCAATTGTTGTTTTTAAGATTTGATGGTCAGCTTGTAACTCCTAAGATTTGGGTTACGTTTTGCGAAAATCAATTTTTGAACGTTTTGAGTGCTGATTTATAAACTGTTTTGCGAGTTCTGTTTCGTGGGGCTACAGACCTCCGATTCGCTTATAATTTATATGCACGCGAAGCCCCACATGTCTAGTTTCAGATTATATAAACTTTACAATGAAATTCTGAAAGCTCAATTTATCACAATTTTTACAAGACAATCAGGTTTTTCAGGAAAATTATTATTTCAGCAAACCATGTATTTTGTAAAGTTCCACTCTGATTTTCGTAAGCAACCAGATTTCAAATTAAGAGTTTAATTAGCTACTTAAAAATGCATCTTCAGTATTTAAGCAATGACGTTAGAAACCTAATCCTCTTAGTAGACATCTCTCTTGAATGCATACAGGGGAGGGTGTCACAGGTATAATAACCCTCACTACCAAATTAAGTCAAACAAGAAAATCAAGTAAATATTCAATAGATCAAGTATGTGTTCAAGGAAATTGTAACAAGTTAAGGCAAGTACTAATTAAATGATCATGAAATTAACATTATAAGAGAAACAAGGATACAATTCATGCCTAACAAATCAATTAGGACCTAAATATAAGTATAGATCAAGTATGTGTTCAAGGAAATTGTAACAAGTTAAGGCAAGTACTAATTAAATGATCATGAAATTAACATTATAAGAGAAACAAGGATACAATTCATGCCTAACAAATCAATTAGGACCTAAATATAAGTATAAGTTATATTGAGAGACATAGATGTCAATTTGGTAAAACAGGGATATTTTGGTAATTTGATAAAAATAGGTCTGAACTAAATTCTATCGGTCTAATTAAATTGTCTGGTGAATTTTACGAGGCATAAGTATGCTTAATTTAGCTAGATAGTGTGTGGAAAGATTAAAAGAATTAAGTCAAATGTTAAGAAATTAACTAAGTGTCATTAAGTCAAAGTAAGCTAAAATTTGATAAAATTATGCCTAAATTTAAATTAGATAGCATAATTAAATTGTGTAGTAAATTTATTGGTTCAAAGAGGTCTTATATTAGTCTAATTATGATTAGATTAATTATTAAAATTAGGTCAAAGTTGTATTAAAAACAACTAATAAGAAGCTTAATGGTTAAGTTACTTAGATATTTTCATGAAATAAATCAGATTTTTTCTCTTCAAAACACTCCTTGGCCGACCTACACACAAGGGAAAGAAGATTGGTTAGCAAAGTATACACTTTAATTGGTTTAAAATGAAGAAAGACAACTAAAGTGGCTAGGAAAGCTTTTAAGTGTCTTTAAGTATTTTCTTTTTGTTTCTTCATTTAAAACTCACAAAATTTTCTGGTCTTCTTCCTCTCCATGGTCCGCCACCATTCAAGAGCTTGGAGAGCTCATTTCATCTATTTTCATTCACTTTTAAAGAAAACATATTTCATGAAAAATGATCCTTGAAGCTTAAGGAACAAAACCCTAAGCTTTGTTTATCTTAGAAAGCCTTCAATCTCTTGATTTCTTCTCTTAAAAGCCACGACCTAGGTATTGTTCATGGGTCTAAAGATGAGTGTTTTCATGGTTTTAATCTTGGAGAAGGATCTCTAGTTGATTTGGAGTGCATTGGTGTCAAGAAACTCGAGTTTAAACGGTTAGTTTTCAAGTTATAATTATAGGATTTTCTCTTGAATATGGCTGAACAAGAATGATGTTGTATCATGTGTTTAAGATATATTTTAATGTTTATTGATGGTATTTAGTGGTTATGTAGTTGAAAGAAGCAAGTAGGAATCATGAGAAATTGTTGAAAATTTGTGGAACCCTAATAAGTGTCAAATTTGCCCTGTCTTGGAAAATTTATATTTGGAGTTATAGAACTCCAAATTGAGTACCAGGGAGGCTTCAAAAGGCAAGAGATCAATGCAGAGTGTTACAAGGATAGATATATCATCAGGATGATGGATGTTTAGACATTTTGGTTATGTATGTAGGCATATTTATTCTGTTGTCAGGAAGATCGTATTAAAAGGTTTGTAGAACATTATATGTACGAACTAAGTATAAATATATATGTCACTATCGGGGTTGATGTCAAGATTGGCATGGAGCCATATTATGGATGTCTATTCATTTATATGGATTAGAATTGTTGTCTATCAAGTGTTGATTATTTAGTGGGATCACAATTCCCTGAATTAGTCCAATTTACAGTCGTTATACTGTCCATGAGAATCTATCTGGAATGGTACATGATTGAAAGTAACTTGGCCTTGAAGGCCGTAGCATGTGAGAGGGAAAAACAAAATTTTTCTTATGCGGAGTCACACATGCAATCAAGAATCATGCTTTATGACAGTATGATGTTACCTTTGTTTGTGAGTTCAAAACTCCAAGACGATCAGTGTTAGGTTTGAAGGGTTCAAACCCTCTAACTTTGATCCACACCACCCATGTCAAGATGCAAGAACTCTTCTTGTCAAGCCACCAATGGACCACCACAAAGAGGCTTGCTATGCGCTCAATAGGTGAAGAAGGAGGCTAGGTAAATGTGTTTAGAAAAGTGAAGTCTTCAGCATGAGAACTTCACAAGAGTGGGAATGGATTGGAATAGAATTGGCTAGGTCTTTTTTTGAAAACCTTAAGGAGAACTTACCCCTAGTATGCGCACAAGAGAGTGAGAGTGTTGATCCATCAAATCAGATTTTTCACTTAAATCAATGATGTAGGTGGCGCACAAGAGAGGAGAGAAAGGTGGAGTTGTTTGCAATTCAAAATTCCCAACAACCTACCTTTGAATCCTCATGAGACTAGGTCTCTACCTAGTCAAAATTCTGATCCAATGGCCATCATATGGCCAGCCATTATGCGCCCCTATTTAGCCCCAAAAGGGGTCCAGATTCGTTGAGCAGTTGCATTCAAATTTGAACCAACTCACTCACTAATTCTCTCAACCAACCAAATCTGATTGGAGCTTGTTTGGTTGACTAGATGACACTCATCATCCATCCAAAGTGGCGCCCCAAATCAGCCCTTGGAGATCT